CCGTGGCCAAGCATTTTAGTCCTGGTATTCCGCACGTGCCTGACATGTGTATGGGGTACCCTTAAATGAGACACAGGTGAATACCAACTAACCTCCGTTTGAGGGAAACTTTTTGTCTACCATAAAGGAATAGCTTATCCAATCATGATAATGAAACATTAGTCATAAATATCATGTTTACCGAGTGATTCTATTATAGACATAATTGCATACAGACAAAAAGTTATTTGCATAAGGACATTTACCACAGTCCTGATGTCATAGCAAGACCGGAATAACCTCAATGTCTATCAATAGATCAATGAGCTACGTGAGGATCCATCCCTAGGATGACACAGGAAGTCGTTGCAAAGAAATCAGCTCTGTGCGTACTGACATGGGACTGTAGCCAAGACACATGGAGGCACGCAAACAGCAAGATGCCGAATGGGGCTCAGCGTGCCACCATTGGTGTGTATGAAGAAACACACGCCATCTCTAGAAGGAGACTCAGATAATTGGCAACTGAGTTTGCCTCTGGGACAGAAGCTGGGAGGGCGGGAACATAGGGAGGGGGAAACTGGCTTTTCACTACATCTGTGTTTTTAAATTGCCTGAATTTTAAAAATAATGTACTACTTTTAAGCGAAACAACTGTGAATGATTTTCACAGGGATCTGAAAGGGCATGGAGAAATGCTCATGATACAATATTAAGTAAAATTAAAAGTGGAATTTTTTAAAAACTGCATGATCTTAATCACAGAAGAAAAACATATGGAAAAGGCAGTAAACAAATGCATCAAAAACTCAATGATGGTGAAACAGACTTTCCTTCTTTCTTAGCTACCATGATAAACTCAGTGCCAAGGAGGTGCCATGTTCCCTGTTCAATTCCCCCATCAAGCAGCACCATTATCACACTTTTGACTGAAAAGGAAAATTCAGCACTCCCTAGTCCCTACTCACCAGCGTACAGTAGAGGCTCAGTGATGTTTGTCAAATAAACATCTGTGTCTCTGTGGGCCGGGGGCTTGCAAGTCAGCCCGTGGGCTGGCAGAGCCCTGGACAGGGTTGGGTTCCAATCCTAGCCCCCCACTTCCTGTGACTCTGGACAAGTCACCCCCTCCTCTGGGTCTCAGAAACTCCCTCTTGCTAACATAACAACATGCCCACTCCTGCGGCAGCCACAAGGGTCCACTGATATTGGATGCAAGTGACCCTCACATGCTGGGCACACAGTAGGTGCTCAGGAGAGGTTTCGCCCTTCCACGGCCCCTCCGCCAGGCTTGGGAACAAGTGGGGGCCTGGAATGCTCTCTGAGGTTTCCTCTAGCACCTCAGGTCCAGCGGTGACAAGCAAGGTCACTTGCTGTCCATCACTTCAATAGCCAGGGGAATGTAGGCGATAAATAATTCAGCTTTGGGTTAACTCAGTGCCAAGGCCATTTCGTCTTGCCAGGACGGTCAGATGGGGGCCACGGCACATTAATTACAAAGCAGGAGTGGAAGGAACACGAGGCTGCTCAGTTACCTCTGTTTTCAGGAAAAAGCAGAGGCAAGAGAGGGAGGTGACAGACTGCCTTCCACCCCGCTGTGTGTGAGTCTGTGTGTTTGTGCACACACACACACACACGTATCTATGTGATCACACAACCGTAAGAGATTCTAGATTCACTGCCCTGGAAGTTGAGTTTTCTCCGGCGGGCCCTTGCCTCATGTACCCAGGAGGACATTTCCGGTCTAGCCTCATTCCCTGCCATGCAGTCCTGTGATGGGCCTGCTGGGACAGGCCTCTTCTCTGCCCGCCCATCCTACATCCCCTTAGAGCCGGCCTCTTCCCCTGCCTGGACTTTAGATCTCAGCCCCCCGCCGGGTCCTCTGCTAGGTCCCTGAATGCTGGAGCCTCTCCTTGACCCCACCATCAGCCTGGTTCCAGGCTTTGGGGTTCTGGATTCATGGGCGTTTGGGAAGAGCCTATGAGATGATGTTTGTACAGTGCTCAGCAGGATGGCTGGCACGTGGTGAGTACTCGGTATCTTCTGAAGTGATTATTCCTGCCTCCACACTGACCTGACAGTGGCACTCACAGCTACCATTTCTCCACCTCTGAGAACACGTCCCACCCCCGGCTCTGGGCTGCGCTCCCCTCCCATTCCCCTGGCTATTCCTTCTGTCTCCTTTGCTGGCTCCTCTTCAACCCCACACTAGAGAGGCCCAAGGCTTGGTCCCCTTCCCCATTCGCCCTCTCCCCCCCCCCCGCTGGTGATTTCCAGTCCCATGGTGTCAACACCATCTCAATACTGACAACTCCCAAACAAACGTCTCCAGCTCACATCTTAACCTCAGACTCTTTTCTATTATCCAGGTCCCACTGCCTCCACCATTCTCTACCTCAAACTCAGCACCCCCGAAACCAAACCCCTGGTGTTCGTCCCCAAAACTCGCTTGTTGCATGACCTACCTCATCTGTTAAGAGCAGCTTCATCTTTCCCGCAGCTCAGGCCCAAACCTGGAGCCATCCTTACCGATTCCTTCTCCCAATGTCTCCGCCAATAGCAAATCCTGTTAGCGCTACCTGGAAACACTTCCAGAATCCAATCACTCCCCCCCCCCCCGCCCCTCTGGTCCAGTGCCATTCTCTCTTGCCCGCATAGGGCAGTGGCCTCCTCCCTGGTCTCCCTGCCTGCACTTCCCCGGCAATGCAGCCAGAATGACCCATCTAATGCAAATGATAGTCCATGCTTGCGCCTCTGCGCAGAGCCCTCAAAGGGCTTCCATCTCAGCGTAAAAACCGAAGTCCTCCCTGCGGCCTATGGGGCCCTGCATGGTCTGGCACCTGCTACCTCCCTGCTCCCTGACCCTCATCCCCACCCCAGGGCCTTTGCACATGCTGTCTCCCTTGCCTGGATGCCCTCATCCTATATATCTACGTGACTTTCTCCCTCACTTCCTTTGAGTTTCTGCTTAGATGTCACCTTCTTGGTGAGGCCTTCCTTGACCACCCTGTATAAAGTAGTCCCTCCCCATCCCCCTCTGTATCCACTTCCCCAGCTTTATTGGTTCTCCACAGAACTTATCACCTCTTATATATTTTATATACTTCCTGGTCTGTTTTCTCCCACTAGAATGTCAGCTCTATCAGGGCAAGGATCTTGGTTTTGCTCTATCCCCAGCTTCTAGAATGATGCCTGGCACACAGTAAGCCCTCGCTAAATATTCATGGAACATAGTTACTGAGCTCTAGTTATCCGCCAAATACACGTACAGGTCTTACATGTATCATTTCCTTTCATCCTCATCACAACGCCTTCAGAAAGGTGCTGCCGTCCCCATGTTAAAGATGAGTAAACTGAGGCACCGAGAAGTTAAGAGACAAGCTCACCAGGAAGCTTCAAAGTCAGAATTCAAATCCAAGCAGGCTAGTCACAGAGCCTGTACCTGAAACCACTGGGCTACACAGCACCTTGGCTCGGCTTTCAAGACTCGTGTTCTTGAAGGGTCTTCCCACCTACCTGAATTTTGGACACTGCCAACAATACAACCTCAGAGGACGTCCTGTCCCCAACTCCTGCCCAGTTCTCCTGGCCCTGCCAAAGGCTGTTCCCCTGACTTTCTGCCACTCAAGCCCCCAGTCCAACATCCAGTTCTGCTGACAGAGGCCATTTCCGCAAGGGATTCTGGGAACAGTTTAGAGCTCCAATCTTTGCCCATAAATATGTTATTAGGCACTAATGGGGCCCAACTGTTGATCAAACCCAGCCCCTGTCCCTCGCCATCCTCTGCCTACAAGGACAGTTAATGGCTCAGAGAGAAAACTAAAAATAAGTTGCAAGTCGATGAGAGCGGAATTACCCAGAAATGTCAGCCTGTGCAATTGTCACTGCTGAGGCGGGGCCAAGAGAAAGAGGGGCACTCAGGGGTTAGAGGGAGGGCAGGAACCAAGCCTGGCGAGTCAGCATCCTCAGCTCTGCTTTTTCTCACCCCAACATCTGGTCCATTACTAAATCCATTGGTGCTGACTTCCTTTTGTTTCTAGAATCTGTCCACTCCCTCCTCATCTCCATGGCTATGCCCTGGTCCTGCCACCATTGTCTCCTCATTGGTGTACCTCAGATCCTGTCCCTCCTTTGCTCAGAACCCTCCCAGGGCTCCCATCTCACCCAGAGAAAAACCCCAGGTCCTTACTTACCAGGACCCACAGGCGTTCTGTGATCTCTTCCCTTAGTCCCACTCTCCCTTTTCATTCTGCTTCAGCCACACTAAGCTCCTTGCTGTTGCCCAAACGCCTGGCATGATCCAACCCCAGGGCCTTTGCACTTGCTGTTTCCCCTGCCTGGAATTCCCACCTTTGTTCTATCCCCATAACTTCTCCAAAGGCCTCCCTGACCACCCTGCCTAGAGTAGGCCCCCAGGGTCTCTCTATTCATGACCCTGTTTTATATCTTACATCTCAGCATCTAAAAGCACCCTGTATATGTTTCCTTGATTGTCTGCCCCACCCCCACCCCTGGCTAAAACTTAATCAATACAAACTGGGGCTTTGGGGTCTATGGTGAGTATTCAGTGGAACTTTGAAATGATTCTTCAAAATAACTGATCTGCACACTTCAAAAATGTCATGAAAATGATGAAAGGCACAGAAACTTTTCTGTATTAAAGAAAACTAAAAAAGCAGAATGACTGGGCCGGTCGAGTGGCGCGTTGGTTAAGAGCTGGCTTGGGACGCCAGAGGGCCCCGGTTTGGATCCCACATATGAGGGCCAGTGACACTGAGCCCTCTACAGCTAAAATGCTAAACAACAGCTCAACCTGGAGCTGGGCTGCCGTGAGTTGCCAGCGACGGTGTAGGCTGCAGCCCCTGCTGCAGTGGGTTGCCATGGGCTACCGTGTGTAGCCAGCAGCCGCAGTGAGCGGCCGTCCAGAAGCCGGCAACTGATCTGCCTCACCTGGGAAGAGCACAGTGATGGTGCCAACTTGGGCCAGTGAAGCAACCCCCTCCACAACTAGACTGAAGAACAAAAGGTCAGCAACTTGTCGGTTCCCCTTCCCCCAATTCCCCAGTGCTGTTCCTATCCCCCAATTCCCCAATAAAAATCTTTAAAAAAAAATAAAATAAAATACAAAAATAAATAAATAAAAAAGCAGAATGACTAAATGTACCATGAGATCCTGGATTGGATGGTGGACCAAGATGGACCATAAGGGACATTATTGGGACAACTGGAAAACTTAGAATATAGACTGTATATTAGATATTGACCCTATATCTGGGTTAATTGTCCTGAATTTGGTCATTGTACTGTGGCCATGTCAGAGAAGATTCTTGCTCCTACGAGATGCATGCTGAAGTAATTAGGGGTAAAGAGTCACGATGTCTGCAGCTTATTCGCAAATGATTCAATAAAATATTCATAGTAGGAGAGAAAGAGAGAGGGAAAGCAAATGGGGTAAGATGTTTAAAAAAAATGGAAGAATCAAGGTGAAGTGTACATAAGAGTGCATTAAACTATTCATACAACTTTTCTATAAGTGTAACCTATTTCCAAATTTAAAGAAAACCAATATTGAATACATGATCCTGTTCATGAGAGTGCTCACAGTTAAAAGTCAGGGACCTGGGGCAGACAGCTGGCCCACACCCACACTCATATTCGCATACCCTCACAAATGCACACCTACATGCGTGTACACACAGATACACACTCACACACACGTACACACCCACACCGCATGCTCCCGCTCACACGCCATGCCCACCTGTGTGGCCCACAGCTGCAGCACCAGAGCCCGCGCCTGCATCTCCTCTGACACACCCATCTCCTCCAGGTGCAGCAGGTAACTCTCCAGCCAGTTGCTCCGTTGGGCCCGGGGGGCCAGCCTGGCTGGGGACAACAGCTTCCACAGGCGACCTTTGACTCTGCACGCCCGTTCCTTATCCCCTGCAGACACACAGCACAGAGGGTGGGGGTTACAGATCACCACCAGCCCAGGGCCACCCAGCCCTGACCTGTGATGAGGCCATGGGTCTTCCTGTTGTCATTCCATGGGGGAGGAGGGGGCGTTCCTGTTGGAAAGAGGCTACAGGGATGCCCTTTAAATGTTGCCTTGCTTATTGTCTGTCTCGCCCCCAGTGGACAAGAGCAAGGGGCCTTGTCTGTTTTACTCACCTCTGTATCCCCAACACCTGACCCATAGTGGGCCCTCAATAAATATGTGTTAAATAAATGGTGGTTCTTTACACAGCAGGAAGAGGAACACGTAACACCAAACAGCATTCCCCAGACTCAGCAAAGCCTCTTTCAGGAGACATCAGAACAACTTAACTGCCATCGAGAGGGGACAGATTGGTCTGGGGTCTCAAACTTAACTACCTCCAGGGAAAGCAGGTAACGCAAACGAGGCAGGAGAGCCAGGAAGGCGTGTGGGAAGTGGGAGGGTCAGGGCAGCTCCTCCAACCAGCGCCCACTCTGTCCCCAGCCAGGGAGCGTGGTTTTCAGAACAAACTGAAAATCCAGATGTTCGTGTGGAATCTGATGTTTTTTAAGGTTCGCATCTAAGCAAGAAATTTTTAATCACTGTGCAGACCACACAAGCATCTGTGAAGGTCGACTGGCCCACAGAGCACCAGTTTGCAATCACCATGACATAAACAATGGCGTGTTATGCTCTGGAAAACCAAGGAAGAAGTTCTTTATGTACAGAGACGGGCCCCCGAGGGCAGACTGCTGAAGGAAGGAAACCAGGTGCGTTTTACTTGTGTGTTGTGGGAGCCCTACAAGACGATGCCATATGGACACAGATGTGCGGAAATATAAGATCTAGTTTTTCCAAATCACCCCTTGGAAAAGTGGGAGTTGCTTTGGATTGCTGCAAAACTCCAAAGTTCTAGAAAATCTCTCATTGGCTTTTTTGATCCACAAAGCAGTGTGTTTCAGGAAGACCCATCTACCTAGTGGCTCTAAAGCGGGCTACCTACTACAGGGTATTTGAAAGGGTAGAAAATGTACGCTAAACTTTTTTTTTAAAGTATATTAGTTACATTTCCAAATAATATGCTCCATCTGCTTTTCTTCAACCTCTAGGCACTTTTTCAGATGACATCACAATTTCAAGCAGTGAGCCCAATTGTTCCTCTGACATACATTATTTTCCTGTGTTTCCCAACATTTTGGGAAGCTTTTAAACCCCTGTAGGCCCAGTCCCACCCATATGGATCTTGTCAGACTCTCTGGGGGTGGGGCCTGGGCACGAGGAGAGTTTAAACAGGTGAGTACCGCGTGCAGGAAGCATTGCAGCCACCCCAGTGGATGCTAGCTCTGGATGCTTATAGGAGTTATCTGGTAAGGTAGTTAAAAAAAGGAGGTAGAGAAATTTAGCACAGATTTAGCAATGTCTGGCATTCTTTGAGGTTGGACAGCACAATTGCAAGTCTTGGACATCACGGCAGACATGGCTTTTTAAGGATGACTTTACAAAGCAATGCTGTATAAAAAGGCAACCGACAGAATAGGAGAAAATATTTGAAATGTATCTATCTGATAGGGGTCTAGTCCCCAGAATATATAAAGGATTCCTACAGCTCAATAACAAAAACAAATCAAGCAACCCAATTCAAAAAATGGGCAAAGGACTTGAATAGACATTTCTCCAAAGATGATACACAAATGGCCAATAAGCACAGGAAAACATGTGCAACACCACTAATCATTAGGGAAATGCCAATCAAAACCACAGGAGACCACCTCATACCCATTAGGATGGCTCATATAAAAAAAAAAAGTCACATAACTAGCAGAGAGGTGGAAAAAAAATGAAACTTGTGCATTGCTAGTGGGGATGTAAAATGGCACAGCCACTGTGGGAAAGTTTGGCAGTTCCTCAAAAAATTTACACCTAGAATTACCATACGATCCAGCAATTCCACTCCTGGATATAGACTCAAAAGAACTAAAAGCAGGGACTCAACTAGATTCTCGTACACAAATGTTTGTAGCAGCATTATTCACAACAGCTGAAAGGTGGAAGCCACCCAAATGTCCATCAACAGATGAAAGAATAAATGGAATGCGGTGCATCCATACAATGAATATTATTCAGCCTTTAAAAAGAAGGAAATTTTGACGCATGCTACGACATGATTGAATCTCGCAAACATTACAAGTGAAATAAGAGAGACACAAAAGGAGAAATGTTATATGATTCACTTATATCAGATACTTAGAGTAGGCAAATTCAGAGACAGAAAGCGGAATTAAGGTTACCCGGGGGTGAGACAGGGGGAGATGGGAGTTATTGCTTAATGGATACAGAGCTTCTGTTTATTTTAATACAAATTTTCTAGAAATAGATAATAGTATAGTGACACAACATTGTAAATAGTACTTATGGCCATGGAATTGTACACTTAAAAATGGCAAATTTTATGTTATGTATATTTTACCACAATCTTTTTTTTTAATTTTTATTGGGGTATTGGGGGGATGGGAACAGCGCTGGGGAATTGGGGGAGGGGGAACAGACAAGTTGCTGTCCTTTTGTTCTTCAGTCTAGTTGTGGAGGACGTTGCTTCACCTGCCCAAGTTGGCACCATCATTGCGCTCTTCCTGGGTGAGGCAGATCAGTCGCCAGCTTCTGGACAGCCGCTCATGGCGGCTGCT